GTTTTATGACAAACAAGTATCATTAAGGAATCGGGTAATGTTGGTAAGGTGGTAATTTGTATACCATAGCAATAGAGATTTGTTAAGTAGTCGGGCAATGTTGGTAAGCTAGTAATTTTAGTTTTATGACAAACAAGTATCATTAAGGAATCGGGTAATGTTGGTAAGGTGGTAATTTGTATACCATAGCAATAGAGTTTTGTTAAGGAGTCGGGCAATGTTGGTAAGTATGTTATCTGAGTATTATTACAGTCGAGTATTTGTAATTTTCGAAATCTTTGTAATCCTCCTAAGGTGTTTAATATGTCATTCTTATTAAGTTCTGTAATTGTTAAACTAACAATTGTATCATCATAATTAATGACTGATGTTTTATTATTTGATTCTAATTCTTCTACTAAATTTATCTGATTAAAATTAAACATTTGAGAAAATTCCCTATTTAATGAATTGTTAATACTAGAATAAGTAGGTTGTTCTGACAATTGAAGGTTTGATTCTACATTATTCATTTGTATATTTTCTATTATAGATTTTTTTTTAATAATTTCATTTAATTCATCAACTACTTTGCTCATAGCTGGTCGATTATCTGGATCATCGTCCCAACATTCTAAAATAATATAAATAATAATAATTATAAATAATATTAATAATCAAGAATATTATATTTTAAATTTATAAAAATATATTTACCAGTAAAAAACTTTACATAATCTTCAGGCGTACCAGGAATGATACTTTCTCTGAGTCCGTTTGCAATTTTCATAGCTAGATAAATGTCGTATTCTTCAGAATAAAAAGGAGGGCGGCCGCTGGATATCTCCCATAAGAGCACACCAACACTATAAACGTCACTTTTCACATTTAGAGAATCTTGTTGCAAATTACTTTCACTTCTCTCTCGTACACCAAATCTTTTAGGATCAATATAAGGAATTACACCCAAGACTTTTGACTGTTTGGTTGCCACATCAATTCTTTTCGATAATCCAAAATCGGCAAGTTTAATCATACCTTGACGAATTAATATATTGCCGGAATGCTAATGGATATAAAATTAAATTATTAATAATTAACAGTAAACAATAAACAATATAAGATATATATAATGCAAGATTACCAAATCACGATGAACAATTCCTTCTTCATGTAGACACGACACAGCACTAGTCAACTGGTATGCAAATTTATATTTATCATCCCAAGTAATATTATCGAAGTTAACCTTCAAATAGTTCTTAAGTGCGCCGCCATCGGCATATTCCATTACTAACCAATACTTTTTCAATTGCACATTTTTATTTCCTAAATTTTTTTTTAAATAAATATATTAAAAATATATAAATATAAAAAATAAAAAATATCAATATAAACTTTATTATGAACATTACATACTTTGTTTTGAAGTAATCCCATAAAAGCTAATAATATTATCATGAAAATCAACTTCACGTTGAAGTTCGAGCTAAATTATTACAAGTATAAATTTAGCTTGATATATAAATTGGTTTATACTAAACAGACTGAAAAATAGAGACCGAAACACATTTATATATTGTAAATTACCTCATGAATTATTTCTTTAACGGTGGCATCGTTAAAATTATGAAACGATTTTAACGCAAAAGGTTGTTTTGAACTTTTCCAATTTGCATGATAGACTTTTCCAAAGCTACCAGTACCAATTTCTTGAATATTGCTAAAATGTTTATATTCGTAGTATTTGATATCTTTGCTTGAAATATATTCTTCAATACGATTAATCCTCTCATTTGAATAATTGGCAACTTGCATTTTGATTTTTTAATTTTATTTTATAACGAAATGATAAAAATTCTAGGAGAAAGCAAAAAAAAAATATGCATATGTATTAATCAAAGCAAAGTTTCTAAGCCACCGGTCATTTGACCAGTGTAACGGTTAAAAAATTATTGCAGATCTTGTCAAGTGATTTTGATTTATCTAAGTGATTTAATTGAAACAAAAATCTCAATTGATCATAAATTTGTCCACGACGTCTTCAGTCATCCTCTACTTGATTTGGATCCAATAGGAAATTTTTGAATTTTTTGTTAATTCCCGGCATTGAGAAATTTTTTTTTTTGGATTGTAATTATGATGTGTGTGGATCGTCGCAAAAGAGAACAATATATGTGGAAAAGAAACCTAAAAAAAGCTAAAAAATAAAGGCATAACTGTAAAACCAGAAATATATTGAAAATAGAAAAAAATACATACCGCTTACTTCAGAAATGAATGATGAACAAATAGGGCAAACTAAAAAGAAGATTGAGATAAAAATGAGTGAGATACTACGATGAAATCTGAAAATAAAAAAAAGTATTAAAAATAAAAATAAAATTTATATTTTATTGTTTCTAAACAATCTTTCAATTCATTTATTTACCTCAACTTTAATCTGCAGAGAACAAAGTTTTAAAAAGAATTTTATTATAGTATTATATATAAATTTGGCGGGTCATTAAACTTTTAATAAAAAGAAATGAATGCAGAAACTCAATCATTAACATTTCCTATCATATCTGAACAACATCAGCACATTTACTTTAAATACTTGGGTATCAATGAAAACATGGATGTCCTTTTTAATAAATTTCCCGAATATAAAAAACAAATTAATGAAGAATTTAGAGGTTCTGGATTACAAGGGATTTTTGATAAATTAGTTATGATGTCTGTGAAATAAGAAGGTTAATGCAAAGTAAAGACAGAATGACATTACACGTTGGCCTTTAGATAAAAATTAAATTTCACAACACAATTTCATATTTTTATTCAATACCTGAATCGGATAAGCTAACTATATAAAAGAAATCCATAAAATAATTTGTTTATTAATAATTTAAATAAAAGTTATGCGGGCTGTGATTTTCCAAGATTACACAAAAAAAAATTCCGCCCAATATTGTGCCTATGTTGATCTTACTTGAATCATTTTCCTATTCACGTGATAAATTTAAAACTCATCATTTTCCGTTTATTGGAAATTGTAAGGTTAACCGGTTTGCATTAGTGCTCCGTAAGGGTCGAGTCGGGTCGGGTTTGAATCAAACTCGAACTCGAACCCGTTAATATTTACAGGACCCGACCTGATTATTGTTCGGCCCGATCCGATTATTGTTTAACTCGTATTCGACTTAATTTTAAAGTAATATTAATACCAAAAGTAAACAAAAAATTTATTTATGAAAATGTGTATTAAATTAGAAAGTTTTTTAATTTTAAAGTTCTTTGGTTGTAATTCAAATTTAAATTTTTAAATATATTATTGGCTCAACAGCAACACTAATTTTTTATTAAATAATTTCTTTTCTATTTGGATGATTACGCTCTAAATAATGACAATTTTGTTGTATTTGAATATTTGAATCATCAATATTGTATTGCGGAGCCACGTTTTATGTCCACTAATATTTTTTTAAAAAAAATATCAACCTATAATATATTCTATTTAAAAAAGATACGAGCAGTTAAGACATCTAACTTCTCGAGGTGTTTTTAAATTTTATATTCAGGTGGAAGAAGTTTCTCTTCAAAAGTTCTTTGGCAAAAAATTCGCTTGCAATTATTTTCGATTTCCAAGAGAGTCTAGTATTATCAGAATTAATAAGGTCGATAGTTTCACTCACATATCATTTAATAATCATTCGGGTCACCCGGGTCAAGCAAAATCGATACCCTAACCCGACGGGTTTTAAGAACTTAGGACACGTGGCATAAAAAGATAGTCCCAACTCGAATTTTTTCTCGAGTCAGGTCAAATGACCTGAGTCGATTCAACCGGCTCGGAGCACTAGTCTGCATTAATTCTACAACTCGATCCGTCCTAATGAAAAGCACATGACACTACGCGGACCGCTTGGTATTTAATTACAAAAAAAACGATTTGCAGAAAGTTTTTCATAAATAAAATTTTTTTTTTCTCGCAAATAAACCTGCGAAATCTTATACTATTCAAACGCTATACTTAGAACTTGTTCTAAAGCGTGCGGATCATCAAGTGGAAGTATCATAACACGAAATGAGCTGAAATGGTAGGTAATTGTTGGAGTAAGTATTATAGTAGGTTGCTTCCAGTTCATATTTATTTCGAGGATAGGAGTTTATGACGCAATGGTGAATTTGTGCAAAAGTATGGGTATGCTCAGGATAAGCAAGAGTGGGAAAGCAAATGTATAGAATTTAATTATTTGATAATTTAAAATTTCGAAAAAATATTTATATTCATACATCATCATCCCAGGTTGACATAACTTGAATAAAAATCTCCTTTTTTTTCTTAATGACTTTTGTATTTCCGAACTATTATTATGAGAAATGAAGGACAGTTCACCATATAAAAATAAAAGAAATAAGAAAAAAATTGAAAATTGAATGAATAATCGAATTTAGTATTTGATATGATACAGCTTTTATTTACATAATAAATTTGAATTAATAATTTAAAGTTTATTAATACATATAAAAGTAATTAAATCTTTTCAAAAAAATTTAAAAAAAAAATGAAAAAAATTATGTTTTGTGCGACTACGTACGATTCGGCTGATCAGTACGGTACGATCCGGTATCCTTTAAATGGTGAAGTTACGTTATTGTGCATCCATTACGGTATGATTGTTTAATTGGCGTTACGATTAATATTGTACTGGTATGATTAATACATATCGTGCCTGTTTCCAAGTAGTATTAATACATACAACTAAAGTTGCAGGTAAGGTACGCAACTACACATATAAAACATCATACCTGTATTGCAAATAGTTATCAGACTTTAAAATTCTATCAGAGTCGAGTCGTTGACCCTTTTCATTTATGTTCGTTTGAAGAATATTAATAATAGTCTTAAGTAAAAATTAGTAATAAATATTATATTTGTACTTGGCATTTATATATAGTAAATCAAAAGTAAAAAAATATATTTCCTTTATTTGAAATGAATTCATTTTAATTTATTTCATTTACCAATTTAAACAATGTTTTAAATCATTAGAACTTTTTTGCATATTACAATTGTATTTATTGAAGCCATAAGCTACACCTTGAGTAATGTCAAGAAAGATTGCCTTTAGAAATTTTTTTAAAGAAGAAACTGAGTAGCAAATAATAACTTTGCACAACAATATGGTCACATTTTATTATTCAATTCCTTTGAGCTGCAATTCTTTTAACTTTAGATCAATTTCATTTTGTTTGAGTTGCATTTTCCTATATTCTAATGTAATTTCGTTTCAATTTCAAGTTCACTAGTTACTGTATCAACTTCTATTGATAAAATGATAATGCAAAGTGTTAAAGAATTTATATGAAAAAAATGGTAGGAAAAAATATTAACGTGAAGTAAAAAGACTAAATCATCATACATACATACATTAAATCATTATTTACGAATTGTAATATCTGGATTTACGATTTTCCATATTGATTATTTGTCATAACGGTATGATATGATTTATATCATAAGTCATATGATTAATAGTACTGTACCTAAAGGATTAAAATATTGATGATTTTTTGTTGTGATTATTTAACATATCGGTATGATTAGTATCGTACCTATACATAATCAATCATACCTTATCTATCATACCGTACTAATATATTATACACTCGGTACGATCCTCCAAATTTTGATCGTACCATACTAATATTATCGAGACATATATTTATAAATCTACCGTACTGATCAGACGAATCGTATTTGATTTTATTTTTATTAAGGTATGTTTTTTTTTTAGAAAAAAAAAATATTTTTAAAGAGTAATCTTTTGATGATCACAATATAGAATGCAAAATCGTTATTAATATCATTGAGATCATAACAATAGGCATATAGAAGTACTTTACGCGTCGAGTAAAGTTGTACAGTACGGTAATGTTTCGGGCGAAACTAGTTTCGCCCAATTTGATCTACAAAGTATTTCCAAATTAAGGTTTCGTATAGTTTCGGATATATGAGGCGAAACTCAAAGTTCACTGGGCGAAAAGTTTCTGATTTGATAAAATGGTTTCGCCCGAAACACTACAGTACGGTAATACAAGTTAGTACTTACTATTGAAAATTGTTATAGTACGTATAAATTCTAATAAATTTCGTACTAGTCCGTACGAAACTTTTTACTTTTTCGTCACGTTTACCTTTACGTATATGTCTACTTTCGTATTTATCTTTTCATATTTTTGTACAATAATGCTTTATTTTATAAAATTTAGACGATATACTCAAAAAATGTGTAATAATTAAAGGTCGTTAATATGAAATAAAAACAATGAATTAAAAATGTTGTTTTTATTCATTTATTTGATTATTTTTTTATTTAATTCTTTAATTTATTCGCAAACTCTTTATTTTTTATTTTTTTATTGTATTGTAATGATAAATATGTAAATACAAATTATAAATGATAAAAAAATTTTTTTGCGTTAGCCCTAAATTAATTTTAACTTTTAATTACATTTCTTCTGCTTCCGCCATTAAGTTTAATAATGCCACCTTTCTTCTAATACGATGCTTGATATGGATTAATTTTCTCTATGAATCGAACTTCCCAAATTTTCAACTCAAATTTCATTATCTCTATCATGTAAGTTAATATTGGGTATAAATTCATCACTTGTAATTTGAGAATTAACATAATGGTGTAATTATTTTTATTTAATAAAATAAATTATTAATATAATATAATATAATATATACATACATATATTATAATAATAATAAATATTTACATCTACGATTTGATGCAATTTGCTGTTTATTAACTTCGTTTTTATCACATCTGGTATACCTGAATTGTCATGGGTGTTTTTTAGTTTTAATTATTTTTCATCGTGCCTTTTACCATTAAAAAAATTAAATTAGTAATTGATAAAAATATGAAATAAATGCAGTAATAAATAATACAAATAAATATATTACCATAAAATAGCTGACATTAATTTTAATTTTTTTCCTTCTCAATTAATGAAAGCATGAGCAACTTCTGCTGCATTAGTATTATTTCCATATTTTCTCCAAATGTGACGAACGTGACGAACGTATGGAAAAATTATGAATGTACGGAAAATTAAATTTTTTTTTTCGAGTGTCCTTCCAAGTACGGAATAATTTAGTTTTTTTATTCGTCCGTACTAACTTGTATTACCGAACTGTACTAATTTACTACGTTGTACCGTACTGCTTTCAATAACCAGTACGATCAAAATTTGGAGGATCGTACCGTACTGAATAAATATAAACAACTAAACTAGTTTTGAATTCCATTCCGCAAAAAACTGTTTATAACAGGAAATACACATCAAAGAAATACTTGATTAGACAGAGTCGTCAATGACTTCAAAGAAATGATCGAAATGTTCACAATATTTCCCACAACATTTTTTTTTTTAGAATAATACACAACTAGTAATGTTTGTTAAAAAGCTTAAGTGTCGAAACCAACTAGTCCAAAATAAAAAAAAAGTCTGGTGGGCGTGTCCAAATTATTCAGTGGAGTGTAACCAATGTTCTTTATCGTCTATTTGACATTTCTGTTTTAAATAGATTAACGAATTTGTGAAATAAAAATGTTTTTATACGAGGACTGGAAGATATAAATGTCGTCACGAAGATATCGATTGATTAATATGTATCAAATTTTAATGAATAGTTGACAAAATTTTATATTTTTTTCATTGATATTAAAGGTA